GGCCGAAACAGCGCCGCCGGATCCGAGCCGCGCGGGGCCTAACGGGTCGGAACACGTGGGGCCTTTGTGCCCGGAACCGGAAGCAGAGACTCGCCCCGCCTCATGGCCGCGCTGGAGCCGCTCTAGGCATGCGGCGGTAGGGCTCGCTGGTGCCGGCGCTGCGGGCTGGTCTCCGGTGCTCTCCGTGTGCACTGGCACCTTTTCAGGGGTTTTCGTTCTTTTCTTGTTCTTGGTCTTCTGTGCTGGTGTGCTTTGATTTTGGTGCCCCTGCGTGGTTTCCTTCATTTCCCCCGCTTTGCATTGTTTGCTGGAGGGAGGCAGAAAGAGAGCAGCGTCGCTGGCACCCAAGCGTTTGCATTCCCCGTGAGCCGCTGGGTCTCGGGCGAGTCCTTCCACCTCTCTGAGCCTGAGCCTCCGTGCTGTAAAATGGACGAGCTGTATACGGTTGCTCTGAGACTGATACTCCATAGACACAGATTGGAACGCAGAGGCTCAGGAAGGTCATAGGTATCATAGCACCTTTTTTGCCCGAAAGCATGCATGCTTGCCAAAGAAACAGAAAACTCCCTCAGTGGGGTGCGATGGCACCTCAGCACCTTCTCCATTTCTCCATCCTGCCACGAGCGCCGGTGCCCGGTGCGTTTTCTGGCGGATGAACAGGGATCCAGCTGCGCCGGCCCTGGGACCCGGCTCCCAATTCAGGCGGCTCTGTTTTCCTTTGCACGCTGCTTTGCGTTTCTTCACTCAGTCTTCCCCGGTCTCCTTTGTTTATTTTCATCTAGGTCAGTTACCTTGGTGTCCTCGTCCCGCCCCAGGAGCCACACTCCTCTCCCCCACCATGTCTGAACTTTTCACTCCCTTGGACACACTGCTGGGTTTTAACTTTAAGGTAGTAATCACTTTGGGTGAAGGAAGAGTGTGTTAGTCAGGACTCTTTGTAGAAACAGAACCAATAGGATGTGGATCGGTAGATAAACAGAGAAATAGATAAAAGGAGATTTACTATGGGAACTGAATGGTGTGATCATGGAGGCTGACAGCCGGTGATCTGCCCTCTGCAAGCTGGAGGAAGTTGGTATAATGCAATGTCACCCACCGGAATAACCAACAGTGCCCAAGTAAATAATTAATATGATTTATTCTAAACACAACTTTTGAGTGACCTAGACTGGAAGAACAAGTATTTCTCTGGGTGCTGACATGCACTGGTTCCTTTTCCATAATTCTGAGGGCAGGAGAGTTGTCGGTCATCATAAAGAGTCTTACTTGACCTGGCCCCAAAGATGGGCCACCTGGAAGCAGAGGCTTTTAGGTTATTGGTGAGTTTGAAATTCTTAGATTAGTAATTGCTTGAGGAAAATCTCAAGTCTGTTCTGAGAAGAAATCAGCACAGGAATGGTGCTTTGCTCTAAGGCAGAGTTTTCCTGTGTGATAAAACACTGCTTGGGACCGCATGGAGCTTCCCACTGTCAATGAAGCCGGCCGCCTGTTCAAGTCTGTAGGCCTCTGTTAGTGTTTGTAGGCATGGCTCTCCCAGGCTCCTGGAAGAACTTCGGAATAGAAAAAGCAGTCAAACTTCTGTTCTCAGCAGAGGGTAAAGGCCTGACAGAGGAAGAGGGTAGAGCTGGGGGTAGGGAAAAGCTGTGCTGGTGGAAGTCCTGGAGTCCACGAGCCAGGAGGATGGCACCTCAGCTTAGGAAGAATGAGTTTGTTCTTCCTCCGTGTTTGTGTTCCACTCGGACCCTCAATGGGTTGGATGAGGCCTGACCCATCGATGAGCGTGCTCTTGTTTGCTCAGTCTGCTGACCCAAACACTCAGCTTCCCCAGGAACGCCCTCATAGACACACCTGGATACAGTGTTCTGCCACTTATCTGGGCACTCTCTAGCCCAGTCACGTTCACACATAAAAGAGACCATCACAGAGGGGGTATACGGTTCATAAAAGCCTA